CTCCAATAACGTTAAAAATAGAAGTGTTACTTAATTAACGTTATTGTTTGCAACATATCTTCATTTTTTTTAAAAGAACAAATTTGTTAAGGAGAGTTTAAGCTAGCAAATGACTAGTCATTAAACTCCTAGGACCTAATAATGTTAAAGATAAAAATGTTATTCACTTAACATTATTATTGGTCGTATATTAAATATTTTTATAAATAATAATCTTAAAGGCAAAAAATCATATTCACTATGTACAAACAATAAATAAAAATAAATAAATAAATAAACAAAAAATAAATGAAAAAATAAAATAAATAAATAAATAAAAGAAAGAAGAAAAAAAAGTTAAGAAAAGAACGATACCAAATGAGATGAATCTTCGAATATGATGATCAAGAAGGTGCTTTTTGGCTACCTTTCACACTACAGAGGTGTCTCAGATCTCAAGAAATACAAAAGAGAGGGAGGAGAGAGAGAGAAAAAAATTCGAGCTCTAAAGAGTATTGGACGAAATTTTTCTGGGGTCCTGAAAACTGTGCCTAACGCGTCTAATTATAGACGTCAGACCTGACCAGAACGGCCCGTTCCGAAGTCGGAACGGCCCGTTCTGGATCATACCGTTACAAGCAAAATGTGACTCTGGAACGGCCCGTTCTAAACTCAGAACAGCCCGTTCTAAACGTGCAATGGGTCGTTCTGAAATTGGAACGGCCCGTTCCACGTAAGGAATTTTAGATCCTTTTAGTCACTTAGAACGACCCGTTCTAAATTAGGGTTGTTGTGTTTTTTTCTAGCGTGGAACGGCCCGTTCTGGGTTACAAACTTTTTTTTTTTCACTCTTTTTTTTTTTAACTTTCTTGTTGTCATAAGGTGTAGCCTACATACTTTGGGAGCTCCTCCTTTTCATAATAGATGTGCATTTCATTATTTTTGTGAGGCTGGATAAAATTTATTATTCATAGTTGCCCCTCTTTATTTATTTCTTATTAAATAATCTAAATAAGGTAATTTAGATCATTTGTGATAAGAAATAAATAAAGATGTGAATTAATTTTATCCAACTACCCAAGACATAGCTCCTATTGTTGATGGAGTAAGTCTTTGAAAGATTCAATGCTTTTGCTTAAAGCTAGTCCAATGCTAGAATGTTGTGTTGGGATCATCAAGTGCTGGTGCTAGATCAACCAAATGTTAATGTTGAATGCTTGTGCTGGAGGGTTGAATGCTTGTGCTTGATCAACTGAATGCCAATGTTTGATGGAGTGGTTGAATGCTTGTGCTGGATCGACCAAAAGCTTATGTTGAAGTAGTTGAATGCTTGTGCTTGATGGAGTGGTCGAATGCTTGTACTGGATCAACTAAATGCTGGTGCCAATTCAATCAAATGTTGGTGCTGGATTGATTGAATGTTGATGGACTGGATGCTAATGCTAGAGTGGTCAAATGCTTGTGCTGTATCGACCGATTGTTGGTGCCAATTCAATCAAATGCTGGTGCTGGATTGATTGAATGTTGAT